ATATATATATATATATGTACGTACAAAATACATACAAATCACCATGTTATAATCTTTTGTTCACTACAAATCAGTTTCTGGACTTGGAATTCATACAGGAACTAGAGCAGATCAATTGTAGCTCAGGTCCAGTGGCATTCAGTGCTGATCTTGGTTTGATACTAAGGGGGTTATTCACTAAAGAGCCGAAGGATCCAGCCGTAGCTTCTTCGGCTGTACGGGCTATTCACAATAGCCTGTACAGCAGCTGAGGGCGGCCGAGCGGCTCAGCCGAGCCGAAAGGCATATGCTTTGGCTCAAATGAGCGGAAGTGACAGCCGAAGCGGGGAGAACAGCCTGCCGAAGGGCTGATGATATGGTGTTGAAATTTGCTGCTTAAGATTACCTCATCAGAAAAATATTCATGGTACAATCATGGTGAAATACAGTCCCCTTCTACGTCTACCTACATTTTTGTATGAGTTCTGTCACTGAAGAATAATTGTTTATTGCTGAGATGTGCATTTGGATTCGGACGAACTGCCAAATCAACAAATTTCTGCCAATTCGCCAGTTCACCCAAATCCAAGTTACTATATACCTGAATGTACAAATTACTATACATGCAGGCATGTAGTAATTCATTGTATGGGCGCCGCCATCTTGGGGCATCTGACGTCACGTAAGAAGACACACCACCCTCTTGAGTGCACCAAGATGGCGGTGCCCATTGTTTCTATGCGCGCATGCGTTCGTATGGACGCTCCGGCGGTCAATATGGCCGCCGCAGATTCTTGTTTTTCAGTGTGCAGTTTCGGATACGGAGGCTCGTTGCCTCCGAATCTGAAACAGCATAATAATTAATTTTGTCCAAAACTTTATGCTGTACACATCTACTATATTGTCATAAAACTTTTGGTATCATCTTACTTTTTCATGAATACAGAATATTAAAACCGTCCCATTTTTGCCATCCCAATGTCCCGTTTTTGGCTGAAGGGAATATGGTCAGCCTCTATATAAACCAGAGCTGAGAATTCTAAAAGTAGTCTGGTTCAGTTGGTAGGGTTACTCTGTCATTTTGCTTGTTTGTTAATAATTCCTGTGAACATTTTAAAAAGTCTGTACACTTTCCTTGTTTCCGGAAAGATCATTAAATAGCAGTCAAGATTTCCACCAACAATAAATGTAGCCATAATTATACTACAATAAGCAGAACATTAGGTTCTCGGAAAAAAAAAAGGTTCTTAGCCCAATGGTGTACATGTAGAAAGGAAATGCTGGTGGATGGAAGTTGGATACAAGCTCGAACAGCTCTTAATAAAGTGTATCTCTAGTCCTTTTCGGTAAAATAGGAAAGGGTTAAAGCCTCTGGCGGGTTTATTTTACTGTTTGGGTGACAATAGCTGCGCTAGGAGTATAGTTTGTTTTGAACAATGGACAAGCTGCAACAATCTGTGATTTGATAATCATGTGTATTAGTGCTAATTATGTTGCGCTCAGTCAAAATGTGAATGAATAATACTCTCAAAATAGATGAGTGAAATTCACCTCGTACTAGTGAACATGGCTGAAGTCAAAAATTAAAATGAATACTCTGTGCAATAATACATGTATTATTGCTCATTATGAATACAGACTGAATAGTTTTTTTGGACACATTGGTGCCTTCAAAGAAAGGAAAGTAAATCCATCTTCTTTTCTTTCTACAACAACACCTGTTGTGGTTTTTGGACAGATATATTTTAACTGTAGATATATTGCTATTATATCATCTTAGCAAACCATTTCCTATGCACCTGATACTTGTCATGTCACCTATATGTTTAACACAAGTATATTATATGTAGCACTTTGCACTTATTAGAGTGGAATCACGGATTTGTACCATTTGTATCCATATATGTGCATCAAAAGAGTTTCTGTTGGGATACAGACTGCTAGATTTTTTTTATCTATATAATTCTCATATATTTTACATGTATTATTGCACAGAGTATTCACTATAATTTTTGACTTCACCCATGTTCACTAGCAGGGCTGGTGCTAGGATTCTAGCACCGGCCCTGCTAGGTAGGCAAGGTGCATTTTTGCGCCGACCCCCAACCCCTGTAAAAACAGGGCATTTTGACAAGTACTTGTACTTGTCAAAATGTCCTGATGTTTGCGCTATGGTTTTTTTTTCACTTACCTTTGATGCGGGAGAGCAGCGGCGAGTCAGCGCTGGTCCAGTGGGAGGAGCTCCAGGTGGGGTCGTAATTTAGCTGGCCGGCGACTGCCTGAGGTGCCACGCGTGTCGGGATCCTCAGGCAGTTGCCGGCAAGCTAAATTAGGACCCCACCTGGAGCTCCTCCCACTGGACCAGCACTGACTCGCCGCTGCTCTCCCGCACCGAAGGTAAGTGGAAAAAAACATACAAGTACAAGTACTTGTCAAAATGCCCTGTTTTTTCCGCCCTCACCCTGCAGCGCCCTCAGGCGGCCGCCTGACTTGTCTTGCGGTAGCGCCGGGCCTGTTCACTAGTATGAGGTGAATTTCACTTATCTATTTTGAGAGTATTATTCGTTCACATTTTGACTGAGCGCAACATAATTAGCACTAATATTTTACTGTTTGTGTCCCTGCTTGGGAAAATACCATCTGAGTGTGTCATGGTGACTATTGTCAATGGAACAAGATTAATGGCAAATCTACAATTAAATAGATGCCACCAGATCCAGAGGTGGTGGTGGTGATGGTTTTTACATTACTATGCAATGTAAAAGCATATTTTGGATTTAGAATACCCAAGTGTCCTCTTGTGCATTATTAAACCACCCAGCCCTATTCCATCACCATTTAGTGTCACTTTCCTAAGTAACTGATCCCTCAAAGAAGACAAAGCCAATGAAATTCAAAAATACAGCAGCATTGTTTTTTGCTCAATTGGCCCAAATATGACAACATCATAACATGTCAACATGTCAAAAGACTCTCTATATGGTAATAGCCCCTCCAGCTTAGGGGCTATTACCATACTCTGCAACAAAGGGGTCTATATAGAGTTCTAACTCGATTTGAAACAGTATGCTCACATAAAGAAGTATCCTGTGTCCAGTGTCCATGCTTTACAACCTCTTGTTGTCATATGCAACACCCAGCCCACCTTAATACATTGCTGAATTGGAGAAGGAAATTGGGTGCAGTCTCTCCGAGGACAACATCTCTATGTCTTTTATCCTGACTCAGAAGCTTTTGGTGGCTGGCACTGCAGCACAATAGAAAGGAATTTCAAATCCTTACCAGGTGGCATCACTTTCCCCATAGGTTGCCCTCAATTTTCCCACAGCTTCCTGATACATGTTAAAGATGCATTACTCACCCTGGTACCTTGCTACATATATGGTAAACTTGCCCACATCTCACTTCATTCTGGTCCTCCATATTTAATACTTAAGAATTGCTCAAAAAGAAGAAAAAGAGGAGAATGGACTACCCTAGTCAAAGCCCTGATTAATAGGAGAATTTTGAGATTGGCAGTTCATTCGGGACACTCACAGAGGAGCAGCATTCTTGGGACATTCACATTGACCACTTTTATGGTCATGCATGTATCATGACCATCTTTCACTTACTAAGCTACAATTTTCACTGCATTTGAATACACTTGCATGACGCAGCTACACTGTTGCTATGGAAGATGACAGCATAGTCTCATAAAGGACTGTGGACTTTTTCCAAACTGAGAGCTACAGTGCATTCTATCATAATGCATAAAGTCGCCATATGGTTTCTATGAAAGATGGCAGGACTACCAAATTGTGATCTGCATAAGGAACCGTTTCCCAGTGTCTTTTTTAATCAGATTTTATTTTTTGAACAAATGTTTTTGAGAAATAGAGCAAAAGTACACCATTGCAAACAAGACAAAGAAATTGGGTATGTCATATACAGCTCAAAAGCACAACTAAACAAAGTCCAGCCGTGTAAAACAATTAGGAAAATAGCCGAGAAAATACATTCTATACAGTAATGGCAGTACAATGAATCAGCACTATGATTAGACACACTTACCCAGGAAGACCAGATGAGGTTGAGATTAAGCATAGCCTGTCTGAGAAGAAAGTACATTTTTCAAACGAGATGGATCTATTCAGCTCTTGTAGCCATTTCTCCATACAGGGAGGAGTTGGGGAGACCCATTTAAAGGCCAACATCCTCCTTGTAATCGCCATAGAAGTCTACTCATCTAGGGAGAAGCAGTCATAGTACCCCAAACTGCAAGTAAGAGAGTCAGGAGCAAAGGTAGTACCCATAACACCATTAAGGGTGGTAATGACCCCTGCCCAGTATCTTTCAATCTTGGGGCATTGCCATAGGAAGTAAATCAAATTCCCCTGAGTCTGACCGCATTTGCTGCAGCGGGAGTTAGAAAGCAGATCAAATTGGTAGAGGAATTCAGTGGTGAGATAAACCCTATGTACAATAAATATTTGAGTCAGTCTGCGAGAGGGGGATACGGATACAGACTTGACCATCTGCAGGTTATCATCTCAAGTATCATCAGAAATCTAACCAAGTTCCCTTTCTCATTTTTGCTTGCACACAAAGGGGAACTTAAAAAGGAACTTCACCCTTTATCTTTAAATTAAAATTTCAACAAAGTCACCTTTCGAAATGTTTAGTAATGGCAATCTACTAACAGCTGCTTATAGAAAATGACAGGCTTTTTATTTTTTGCATATCTTATTTTTGTTTCCCTCCTATTCTTCTCATGGTGACCATTTTCACTAAGAGCAGATTAATCCACCTCCCTTTACGTCCTGGAACTCTGGTTCTGCCTCCTGGAACATGTGACATCATCTCA